ATGTCACCAGGATTTGCTGCCACAAATGATCTCACTTCAACTATGTCAAAGTTAGTTTATGTAAGGCTGCCCTTTCGCATCATCTGGTTTCTCTCTCTTTATAATTTTTTAATGCTGTAACTACTTTCACAAAACAAAATACTTGGTCGCATCGCCGTGATTTCTAACCCGTTTTGACAGCGCCCGATGTCTCTACTTAGCACTTTCCGTATAAAATAAATCGCCTATTTTAAACAAAGAAACTAAAAATTAAAAACCGTTTTTTTGTCTTATTTTAAAAATGTTCAAGACTGTAAAAAAAGGAACTTTATGAACTGCAAGGTAAGTAAAGAGATATTTCACGTGTTTTTGTTCTGAAAAAACGAGTTTTTTTTGTGTGGTTTTTTACATGAGTTTAACAGAGGTGAGACGTAGCTTTTAAACTGCTACCATTTTCATGATGATGCAATTAATTCAAACGCGCAAGCGAGTTGGACAAGAATAACGAGAGGTTTATGGTTCAGCAGCAGGAACAGACAGATTTTTGAAGTCTCCCACCACTGCAGTCCCCTAGCTGTGTTGGAGATCTGTGTTTGTCCTTTGTCCCCCTTGTTGAGGGTTGAGTTCAGAGAGGGTTTTTGTCGTCTCTGCCACTGTTTTTTGCTTTTAACTCTTAAATAGCTTCTTTTTTTTTTGCGCACTGATATGGCGATTTGTTGTAAGCGCTATATTTTTAGTGTAATAAACCCCACTGAACCAGTCTTACTGCAAATTGTGGGCTTCGTTTCTAAGGAAACAAACCATAATTTGTGCTGCTGATATTTCATACCACGTGTAGCAACTTATTACAGTGGAGTTTCGGAGTGTAAGAATTTTAACGTTGCCTAGAGCGATGCTGTCCTAACCCTTTGGTAATGCATGTTTTTGCGAAACATTTACGCTTTTAAGTGCATGTACATATTTTCTTTTGCGTGGAGAATGTACGACAGCGTCTTTTTAGAGCCCCTACATAAAATAGCGCTTTTAGAATTGTTTCCAAATAACATTCTTACGGTGTTTTCTATTTTATAAAACGCGGAAAGGGCCGACGTCTTGTGTCCTTCCTCGCCAAGCCCCCGAAATGTATACAACGACTTCTACTCTACGTGAATATTAGTTAAACGGAGTAATGGCAGACGTCGTTCTTTTTCAAGTTAGTGCAAGGAAGGGTGGGGGTCATTCCCGTCAATATTCGCATTCTTCAGAAAAAGCAATCTCCAGGCAAAGTTTTTCTAAAAGAGCTTAGAAAATAAATTTTGAAACGATCGATTCGACCTGGGTTAGTAGGGTGCCGCTGGTGCAAGCAGCGCGGGAGCCTGCAGCATTGATCGTATGAAAGAAAACAAAACAAAAGCAAAACGGCTTCCGAAATCTGCGGATTGCCCTACCCACTTCAAATATTGATTTCTTTTCTTTCGAAAAAAATGTTGTGTCTTATAGTTATACTATTTATTTATTTATTTTGCTGTGAACCAAGTTGTGTTTTGTCAAAGTGTCTGACGTACAGAAGGGCATTGCCTCGCGTCAGAAGAAAAAAAAAATAAAACTCAGGATTTTGATTTTATTATATTGACCCTAACAGAAAAGGGGAATCGACGGAAAACGTAGGAGGCTTCAAAAGTAAAGGCAAAACGAGCGAGAAAGGGCATCCGCTAGAAACAATGTACAGACCACCCAAGAAGACCCGGCATCGTAAATGCACAGGCGTGAATCTGTAACATAAGATAAGCACGGTTTTCTATCACCGTTAATATTCTGTTGAGAATGTTACGGCCAAATATTAATGCCGAAGTCTCTGTTGAATGTTCAACGAAACTTATAATTCAGCTCCATTGATGCGGTACCTTCATTTTCATAATATTTTAAATTAGACGAAAACATAATCCTTTTATAATTATGTTTAAAAAAATGTAGGCATCGTGCGCCCGGTATTGACAAGTTAACGACTGGTCCCTTTGGACACAACCGCACTAACTGCAGCACAAGGCAACCGCAAGGGCTTTCAATGAGAATAATTCGTGGTAATGTCAACTCTAAAGCCCCAATTTCCGAAGCAACGGAGCCTTAATGTCTCGTGCTTTACAATGTTATCCTTTATTTTGCTTTCGAGTACAAGGGGATCGATCGATATCGCATCCCATAAGGATCGTTGACTGCTGTTAAATATGTATCAGGGACTGTCACTTGAGATGTGTCGAGATCACCTAACAGGTTCACGCGGAGCGAGGTCCGATCTCCATAACATAAATAATCGAGGATGATTGATCATCTTGGCACTGCAACGCAACGGCTAATCCTGCCATACCTTCCCCACGCTTACTTTCCCTGTCCTAAACCTGGCATTTTGATTTTATTATGTGCTTTTCTAACACTTTTACATTTTCTTCTTTTCTTTTTCTTGGAAATTGCGTCCAGACAAGAAGTTAGCAAACTAATTTTGTCCTTAGACTTCTTTCTCAAATTTACGAAAAAGCCATGAGCTAAAGATAGTGCTATCGTATTTTGGATCCTTATTGCCAGGATATGTGCGGAATAAAAGTATTTGTTTCCGGTTTTCGGGTGACACTTTTGTTTCAATATGAGCAACATTGCTTGTGTTCAAATTGGAGAAACACCTCTTAATGGTTACAGCACCAAATCAAAATGAGTAAGATAGATTAGGCCACAGAAAAAAAATTATAGCTCTATCAAAAATAAAATACAATAAGCGGTCGTTTGACTGCCATGAGACCTATTACCTGTTCATTTGAAACTCTTAGATACACAACTTCTAAAACATTTGATCTTAAATACAACGAATGCGTCTACGTTTACTACTTCACCTATAAGATCGCAACGGTTCCGCCGTGATTTGAAAGTGAAGCAGAAACCGTTTTTTTTTCTTTTTATGGCAAGCGTTTTGCCTGTGTCTGGGAGCTTCAAACATTATCTGCGTTACACCGCAGGTGAAAACAACCATTGCACAAACTGTTTTAACAATTCTTCGAATGCAAACTGCGCTGCGGGTGACATCCAAATACTCTTACATGTGTTCTATTAGTATTCGTATTGCTCCTCTCCAATTGCTGGTCTCTCTGGGTATGGGGCGAAACTAGGTATTCTTCAATGTTATTCGTTTTTCGGTTCTATTAGGAAAACCTTGCCTGAATCACAAACGCCTGTGATATCTGCGTGTGTAGTGATTATCATTTTGTAAGCAATACAGATCAGAAGTACCGACTTGTCCCAGCATAGATCATGAAATAAACAATGCAAAATCATTTCCGTAACAGCTTATTTTTAATTTCAATATAACCTTTGTTTTTAGTGACCTTAAATATTGAGAAAGGTTATTACCACTCATGCTTTAAAGGGACGCTGAACCGAAATCTGCATTCCCCAAAGCAAGCAGCAAAAGCGTGCGACGGGATGCTACAAACACGAAAGCATCACTCATACAGCGATTTCTCGAACGGATGACCGTATTTTTCAAAAACGGAGGCTCATTGGGCAGAAACGTTGACGTCATGTTTCTCCGAGAAGGAGAGGGAACGGCCTCGCGTCTTCCCCGCTTCGCCGCCTTGAGGGAGCGAAGCGAAGAGAGGAGGAAACAAGGTGTCTTGACGTCACGCGCCTAATCGGCCTGGTTCAATCTCGACCTTTTTTTCCGAAAATAGGGCCGTCCATTCGAGATATCACCTTACGAGTAGTGTTGTAAGGATTGTAGCGTCCCGCCTACATCCCTGCCTCGTTTTTTCGAAATCCGAATTTCGGTTCACCATCCCTTTAAGAAACGTGAAGCTTACGGAAGATGGGATATATTTTGACGTCAGTGTAAAAAGTATTGTTGCACATAGTCGCAGAATTAGGGAACGACAAGCGTGCTTTTGTCATTTTAAGTTGTTGTTTTATGTAGTTCATGTAACCGCGCCATCCCTATTTTTAGGTAAGAAAAATAAATACAGCAGGCTTAAAAGAATAAGAGGTAAAAATTCGAGCCTGATGAATACATTTTTTATTATTATATATATTGCCATAACAGAAACTTCTAGCAATGAAATAGGCTCCAAATGCTTGCTCAATTATTTACGTGTTTTTTGTTTTAATTTCGCTAAGTGTAGCTAATGCACTAGCAGTATCATTAACCTTGTAAGGCTACCAGTGTGTTATCGCACTCGTAGCCTTGCTCCTGCTGCTCGAGGGGTAACTGTAGCACTCCATCGTCGTTCCCACGTGCTCCAAGTCTTTCTAATATTTACTAATTGAGTGGTCCTTGAAAACTCAGCAAATTTCTAATTAGAAACATAAGTTTATTTTTATTAATTAAAATATTAATTAACATATTTTAGTCACTTAGCTGACTGGTCGTTACAATTAGCTCCCTATACCACGTCCGCCTGGCCGTAAACACACCTGCACAAACCGCATTAGTGCAGCTTTCGCGGCCTTCCATTTTTTTTAAGAAATGCGTTAAGCTCAAAGAGAAACACTCTGAATATATTAGTACATGTTTACACGAATTAAAATTGTTATATTCCGTCTCCACAACGGAACTCTCTGGAGATGTAACTAGGCCAGAGAAGCTAAATTTTTATATAAAAGCAATTGATAATTTTACATGTTGTTCAGTGCCAATGTAAGTAACATCCTACAGGACATTATAGCTTCGCATTATCGCATTTTTAAGGCTCTTATGTTTTCTTTGCTTCACCTTAAGTGTCTTTGCATTTTTCTTTGTATTTCGGATACATAATTTACAAATCCATACCTCTAACAAACACTAAGGGCCCTTGCTGATGGCTATTATAAAAATATATACGTATAAAAGTAACGTCGAATGTACGAACTCGTTTCTTTACATTAACGTGAAAAGATGGCTAAATTTGAGAGCTTTCTAACATAAAAATTTCTGTTTTTTCTTTTTTAGTTTTGCTATGTGGAGGTTTTAACACTGTCCATGAAATAAATACAAAGACAGTCTGTGGTTATGAAACTTTGTTTACCTGAATCGTAGTCCATTAACGCTTCTTCATCCGCCTATGTTCTTGGCGAAGGTGTCTGAAAAAAAGTAAAAAAAGAAATTGTTTTTGTCAATGACAGTGGGCGTTTGTGCTGCTATGGATCATCAAAGGGCAGCAGAAACTAATGGCATGCAAGATTTATATTATTGTCTTCGCAACTTCTTAAGCTAGAAGTGTTTGTAAGAAAATAAAATGTTTCGCCTTCGTTTTTACTTTTTAAATTTTATTTCTTTATTTGGGCGTCGCATCATTGGGTCTTCATCATCAACATTGTCGGAGCTTAGAACGCTAGAAACATTTCCGCTTTTATTCTTGTAGTAAGGCGTGAACGTATTCGTTTTAATATTTGCAGTACGCCTGTGAATGACGTGGAAATAAAATTAAAGTGCTGGAAAGGTTCTTATATTCAAGCATCATATGAACACCATATTGCCTAGGTCGAGAACATTTGATATCTCCACTGTCTTTGTTCAGCGAAAAAGTAAAAACTAGAAGGTTTTACAACAAAATTCAAACAACCAAAAGATTTGTCAATAAGTGGGATCTCAAGTTAGGTTTCGATAAAGTGTTACTTTTTAAAAGGTAACATTTAGCTTCGCTTTCGTTGGAACTCAATTTATGAAGTGTTACTAGTTTCAATTTTGACGCAATAAATTAGCATAAGCGTTTCGTACAATTTTCAGGCTTCGGTTTTCTACTAAAATCACTGGGCCCCAGCTGGTAATTTGTGCCCAATCACATCTGCTGCTCCATGAAATCGGAGACTACACCCAAGCAGCCATGACACCACTGAAAGCTAGCTTCTCCGCTTACACCGCGACTTAATAAGAGAAGCCATCTTCCAGGCACTCCTCGCTGGTACGCGCTGCCTGATTTCGTTCCGCTTCACTTACACACAAAAAGGTATTAAATTTCATATATTTTTATGTCTGCCTCTGCAGCGTCTATTAAGAGAGAAGTAACTATAGTCGTAGAGAGGGAGAGAAAGCGAGTTTTAGTTGACATTACTATACTTAAGATAAGTTGCTCGCTCAGGCCTCTCACTTGGCATTCTTCGTCGTCGACCACCTCCGAAAGCGTAATGAGGCTTCATTGAGCGAGTCCCTTAACACTCTCGTTCCAGGCGTCGCACAGATTTGCGCCTGCCTGAAGATGACTTGGACGCTCGCTAACCGCTTTCGGGACCTTGATGGGTCGACCGACGGGGGCACGGTAGCAATTTGCGCGAACAGGGTGTGGTGACCGGGCCATAAGCCCCGGAGTAATTAGTTTTCCCAGTGCATACTTGATAAGCTATGCTTACATGTGACAGATAAATGCGCAACATACAGGCTGTCACAAAAAAAAATGTACGCATTCTTTTTTACCTCAATTTAAACTAGGCATCGCCGAACACCCATTCTCCGCCCAAAGGTAGCGCTAATGGTCACAACCAGATGCCAAAGTTTCGGCCCGATCCGATAGCTTATTTTAAAGTTATCAGTGATTTTCTGAAAATTTCAATAGAAAAATGGAGCCCACTTTCGCTCGTTTGCGGTTTCTGGTGCCCATAGAGCCCCGTGTATTCAAAAACTCTGTCGGCCGCCATTTTCCCATTGAAATTTTTAGAAAATCACTTATAACTTTTTATTAAGGTATCGGATCGGGCTGAAACTTTGGCATCTGGTTATGACTTCTAGCGCTACCTTTGGGCGGAGAATGAGCGTTCGGCGATGGCTAGTTTATTTTTCCGACAAGAAAGAATGTGTAATTTTCTTTTGTGAGACCCTGTACTTTGAACTGGGCACAAGTTTGTGACCGGTGTCGGCGTCATAAGGTCACGATGATGAATGACAGTCCAGCTAGCGCCCTTAGAAAATTGTGGCTTGTATTATTTTCTTTAATTATACCGAAGTATGAACAGTGGAGAAGGAAAGTTGAGTGATTCAGGTGTAGGAAATATAAAGTATATAGTAGAATTTAAAAAAAAAATAACGACACAGTTATAATTTGTGTTTCATTCAAACTTTCGTGAAATAAAATTTGTGCGTTGTCAGGGTTATGGAGGACTTCCATTCTCTGCGGATGGCGTGGAAGGCATTACCCAAATAAATTTTTTGCTTAATCCATCTACTTATCTTAGTGGAACATCGTACATATCTGCGATGTTTTTTTTTTATTTCAAGGTAAGCGAAACATGATAATCATAAATATCTTAATCTGCAAATTAAACCATTATGATTTTGCACATATAAAGGTAGTTTAACGTTTCTTAAGAAACAAGAAAAGTTAAGTATGCATTTAATCTTTGAAGATGCGTCAGTCGTCCGTCTTATAAAAAGTATTGCCTCCATTCATGATTTACATTCCCCACCAATGACTGGTGCCTCTTTAATCGAGCAGTTCAATCTATAGCATAATCATTCGAAAAACATTAAATTAATTTTTTTTAATTAAGTATTTATATTTATCGGGCACGTATTCAGAACGCCTTACCTGTAAGCTGTGTGTTACAAAAAGGTAGAACAATCCAGCGTTTTTTTTTCTTGTTTAATTAGTATTAAACCCGCATTAAACCCGCATTTAACCCGCATGCTCACAATGCTGGGAAAAACACGGTATATACTGTATATTTGAATACTTTTTTTGTAATCAAAAATGAATAGAACCCCCAAACATGCCGATGGCGTTAATAGACAGTTTTAGAATAGCGTTGCCGCAGAATACCGAGAGGCACGGCAAATTTCCTGCCGTGTGCTGAAAGGTGCAGCGCCAGCTTCCGGTTGCAATGCCGCACCGTATGGGAGCCTGCGGTTACGCAATTCTAAAACTGCCTATTGGTAAACATGGCACAGTTCAGCGTTGTCATTGCCCTAGTCGGTTGACATGCGAGGTAGCATGGCGCCGAGCATCGTGGTAACCCTTCGGCTGTGTACCAGTTTGGACAACGTAATTCCCGCTGTTTCTAGAACCGTCGTATTGTAGCAAACCCAAAATACTGTAGTACTTCACCCTAAATTATGTGCTTCATGTCTACGTAAATACAAATTATGTCAGCGATCGGCTTGTTGAGTTTTTCAGTCAAGGCATTTGTCTGTGGATGATATGCAGTCGTCCTGCGACGTCTAGAGTGGCTTAAACAAAGGATCTCTTGAATTAGCTGAGCCAGAAAAGCGGAACCGCGGTCGGTTATCATAACTTTTTGAGCGCCGTGCCGGAAATCATTAGATTCGATGAAGAACTTGGCCAGTTCCACAGCAGCCCCGAAAGGAAGGACCTTCATCTCGGCGTTTCGTGTCAGATAGTCTGTCGCAACGATAATCCGCCGGTTCCCCGACGTCGAAGTAGGGAGGAAACGGAGTAAATCCATGCCAATCTGCTGGGGTGGAGCCTCTTGTGGTGCCATTGACTGAAGGAGTCCCGCAGGTTGTGTGGGCGGTGCCTTTCCACGTTGGCTCTCTTGACAGGTCCGGGTGTAATGGCGGACGAACTTCGGGAGCCTCGGCCAGTAGCACTTCTCGCGAATGCGTGCGAGCGTCCGACTGTAGCCGAGGTGTCCAGAAGTGGGATCATCGAGGCAGTCCTCGAAGATTTCTTCACGTAGATCTTGTCGCACAACCAGGAGCCACGGCCCCTTGACGGCCTTAAAGCTCTTCCTCGAAAAAGACACCATGCCGAAGGCTGAGAGTAGGTAGGATGTGTATGAATATTCGGGTTACTAAAGAGCGATCTTCTCGCCGGGCTTGGGGTGGGACTTGGCTAAGGACTGTTCGGTGGTGTACGAGAGAGGCCGTACAAAGGGTGCGTTATCCCGCATCGCCTCCAGAATGTCACGAACGACACACGACCAGGCAGGGATGAAATGAAGAAACTAAAGGTTTAATGTGGCCCATTTGTGTCAAACAAAAGATGAAATAACGGCGTCGCGGGCGTCGATGTCGGCGTAGCGGTAGGATGGAGCGCTAGCGAAAGACACTTCGTTCGGAGCGGCGCGGCTTCATTTGATCCTCCTCTGAGGGCTTAAAACATTCTACCTCGTTTGTTTTGGAAGTATACAGTCTAAGTATAAACACGGTTCTGATTGTTCTGAAGTATTTTACTAACGTAAAGAAAAGAAAAACCACAAACGGAGGCGGGATACGAACCCCGGCCATCTGCGCGGGAGCCAAGCGCGCTCCCTACCTAGCTAGGTGCATACGCGGAAATATTCCTTCCGTTATAAACTTCTTCATTCTCATATTTTTGATTTAAGCACTGATCCTCAAATATTCATGTCTCACTTAGCGAAAAATTTTTATTCCTATCTTTCACGAGACCATTTTTTTCTCAAATTTTCATCTCGTTCAATACTTGAATCGTCGCGGATTGATATTCCTTGTTTATTCTACGCAGCACTTTCAACAGATTGAGAAAATGAGTTTCGGTTCATCGTTTGTCTTTGGATAATTAAATAAAACCTAGTTGTATGTACATACACATATTACTCTTTAAAGCGGCACTCGTAAATAAATATACTCTGATCAAAACACATGACTTGCATCATTGTATCAAAAACTAAAAAAAAGGATATGAGCGATTCATTAGGAAAATAAATGTTCGATAAAATTACGAATTTACCACGAATTTAAATATGGCAAAGAGTTTTTTTTTCTACGCAGCTGGACAACAAATACAGCGAAGATGTCTCTCTCGTGCCTTGTATTTGAATGAAATTGTACTAGCCACAGTTAATAATTATGCGTCATTACAGTCTTAGTTTTACAATACACAAAAGCTCTAAAATGATTTCGTACAATGTCAGCATATTTAATGGCATCCAGTGTCAGCGTTATGACCCAGCGTTATGACCCACCCCGTGATGTCGCGAGTCCCCATAAAGAGCTACACGTTGTCATTCGGGTGTCAGCTGCGGGCACCGACGGTGACTTGCGGACTAAGTATGCTGGACTAAAAATAACTTGTAATTGGTCTAGTTGGTGTACGTTTTAAAGAACGCTGTCAGGCGCAAAAGACAACGGACACATAACGAAGACACACATACAGGCGCCATTGTAATAG